GGAGTGGGCGGGTCTTGGTGTAGCTAGGTGCTGATTGACCAGCTACTGGCTGAATAAGCTGTGACAATGCTGAAAGCCGAATCCCTCTGCAACATTCCATCCAACTGTAGTGTTAGCAGGCACAGGCTACATGAGAGTGGCAACTCTGCTCTGAATACAGAAGCAGTGCAGCATTGTTGCCACCCCATCACAGGAAGCTGCATTACTCGTATTATGACTTTACTGGCAGGATCAACAGGTATTTGTTGGACGTTGCAGGCGCGTAAACTGTAAGTGCAGATGCAGGTATAATAAAGTGCTGCAGGGATAAGATATGTAAATGTGCTTTTAATGCTGTCCGAGGCAAAAATGTGCATTTAACCATTTTGCGGTGCAGGTGAGGGGGGCACTGCAAGAGAGTTCTGCAAGGAGTTCAGAGTTCAGCAGGTACTAGGTTTAACTGAGGATTACACAGGAGATCAGGCAAGGTGCTATCCAAGGTTTCAGAGTGGCTCAGCAGGTAGAACAACTGCCAGCTACAGCAGAGGCCCTGGGTTCAGATCTGGTTCCTGACATGGACACAGGTTCACTATAGGTGTTCATTTTTAAGGGTAGATTAAAGGCTGAATCCTTCAGAATCATTGATCTAGAACACGCTTCTGATCTGCATGCTTGTTCCAGTTCAGTGAAAGTGTTTTAGAAATACATTGATTTTCCGGACACGAGTGTCAATTGGCTCCCATTCCCTGCTCATCTACTACATATGCCCCAACACAATTCTCAGATCAGCATGTCCCCTCCTCTGCTAAAGGCTGCTGAGTTAGAAAAATTGAATAAATATATTTTGTTTCCTTTTTTTGGTTAAATATGAAAGACTGCATATTAATGTAATATCTTTTATCCAGAAGATGATGTTTTTAGCTGCTTTTCTAGTGTTTTCTCCCATGTGGTAGTCAGAACTTTCAATCAGACAAATCACACCTCAAATCTTGATAACGCATAGTGCTCTGGGAATCCTTTATCATGTTTTAAATCCAAATTCCAGCTTTTGAGAACCCCCTCCCCTAAAAACTTAAAAAAAAATAACTTTAACTGAGGCTTAAAAAATGCTTTATTACATACCTAAACTGGGATGTCTTCTGGACAATCAAGTTATGTCATGGGTCCTCCCTATTTTGATCCAGTGGCAGAAGTGCGTAGTCTGTACTTCGGCACAGAAGGGTGCTCACATAACGGCACCTTCTTTGGGGTGTCCTTAATGCTCTAGGCTCACAGAAAGTAGGTTGGATGATGCTGGGCATCATTCAACTTAGAAGATGACTGCCGCTCGGCCCCAGTGAGGTGAGTCTTTAGAAAAAATGATTCGTAAT